TGGGTAGGATTGGGCAGAAGGGGTTTGTCTGTTGCATGCTGTTTCTTTCTTTTAGTATTGTGTTTCCTTCTATGTGTGATATGCCTCCATTTGTCTTCCTCCAAGGGCTTATCAGTAGGGTCAAATCCTCTGGGAGTTATTTGTTCATTATTTGGTTCAGTCTGGGCAGAGCTTTCTTTCGGTACGTTGGGGTTTGGCTAGAGTTGTCTCTAAGTTCCTAACTTTTTCCTGTAGTAGTTCACATAATTTGCATTTAATGCATGTATAGTTTGGGTGTTTTTGTGGCATGAGCGCATAGGTGGAACATGTATTGCATACCACAATAGTATCAGTCACCTGTTCCATGAGTTTGTTGTTTGAAAATCCCTCTTTTTGGTTGGTGGATGTGCTTTGCTATTAGTGTGTCTAGCTTCTCTGTTCTGGGTAATTATGCCTATTTTTCTATTCTTTTTTCTGCCTTTGTGCTACCTTGTTATTTATTTAATCTTCTTACTATTATATTAGTTTTATTTATCCTTTTCTTCCCTCTATTTTTTTTTTAAAGTTTTTAAACTCCAATTCCTTTTTGTTTTTTACTGGGGGTCTTCCCTCCCTTCCTTTTGGGACCTCAAACTTGTTCACTTCTGTTGCTTGCTGCTCCGGCCTCTTGTTGTTTTCTCTGTCAGCTCTCTTCTGTCCTTCGGTGCTCATCTCTGCTCTGGTCAGGCCTCCGTTCAGTTCAGTTGCTCTGTTTGGTCTGTTCCTCTCAGCCGGCCACTCAGCTTGAGAAATCAGAGAGCTCTCTGGCTCGAAGTCCCTCTGTTGCTGCTGCTGTGTTTCTCCTCCACCCTCAGGTTTTGCTGCCTCCAATTCCTCACAGCCGAAGGATTGCTGTAGGTCTTTTGTCCTCTGCCAGGCCAGGCTAGCAGGGGCAGGGGAGGGGGCTGCAGATCCAGTCCTCCACCTGGGGCAAGTCTCCACTGGGGAGGGCTGCGGGGCTGGAAGGAGGCAGGAAGAGGGCTGTAGGAGTAGGATGAAGGCTGTCTCTGCTTTTCTGGGCCCTGGGTTGGCCTGCCTGGCTGCCCCCTCAAGCTGGGCTGTCTTGATTATTCAATTGCTGAATAAATGCTGTGACCCACCTGTTCGCTGCTTCCAATGGTCTCCCTCTTTGACTGCTGTTCAGATGCCGGTTCACTGCTCTCCTTTGCCTTTTTTTTCCTGCGTTGGGCTGCTCAGCTGTGCTCCGGAGCTGGCTCCCTCATTCTCTGTTGCCAGCTGCCTCTGACTCCATGTGCAGCCATTCATTCGCTGCACTTCTGTTTGCTGGTGTTTTTCTCCTTGCCCCAATTTTTTCTTTTCCTTTATCCTTTCTATCTTCCTTATCTAACTTTCTGCTTCTTTTCCCTCTTTTTCCTTCCCTCTCCTAGTACCTTCCTACTTAGTTTGGTTACTTCTCTCCCTGTGATCTGTTACTGCTTCCTACGCTGCCACCATCTTGGACCTCTGAACAGTGGTGGGATTCCGCCAATTCACACCACTTCGGCAGAACCGTTACCTAGTTTTTTGTTGCCCAGGCCCAGAATGGACTTCTGGAAGCGGCATCCACATAGAGAACCGGTTATTCACATATTTGAATCCCAACACTGCCTCTGAAGGAATCTGACCATCGTAGAGATTACTGAATCAATACAGACTTCCAATATCTCAGAGATAAGAAGAGGATGACTTGGAAAGAAGTTCCTTAGTTGCTTCTGTTGCCTATCCACTCAAGAAGATTATTTTATGGGTTCCCTCTGGAAGATGAATTGCCCCTTATTTCTAATATCAATCCCTCTCTTTGAATACATTGCAGAAACACTGTTCTGCCCCTGCTCCAATGTAGCTCTGATTGTCCACAAATCACAGGGCATCCCTTACTATAAAGAGGTGTGGAAGATCCTAGTGTAAGACAAATACAAAAGGAAGTACCACTGTTATAGTAGTTATGGGCACCCCCTATTTCCATTGTAACAACTGCAGTTTTCTTTAACCAAACCTCCTCTGACTGGGCACTATCCTGGTTCCATCTATTGTCTGGGTTGTTGCCTTAACTGTTAGCCTACTGCTGTTATCCCTTGCAGGATACAGTTCCCAAAACTAGAAGGGAAGGGAAAATCCCAAAGAACTGTAGTGAAACTAATGCTCTAAACTCAAAGTTCAGAAGAAATATGGGAGAAAAATGATAATATTGGATATTCACACAAATGGACAAACCTATGTACTCTAGGCAATCAGAAAAGAACTGAAATACAGCAGGAGTAACCACGCTGCTCTGAACCTTATCTCCACTTCTAATTTAAAATAAAAATGTAAAAATGGAAACAGTCTGTTACTGAAAGATTGCCAAATTCTGCTCAAAAAGCCACCAAGAGGTGTCACAAATGTAAATTACAAGAGGTCACAAAATGCAACAACTGCAATTACCCCCAAGGAAGTTATTATTGAGCTTAAGAACACCCTCCTGCCCCAGGAAAATTACAGAAACATCTATCTGCTCCTTAGCTACAGTATGTCCTAGGAGTATCCAAGATAGCCTTTCAATTTAGAGATAAATTACTTGAGGAGAAACATATTATTATTTGCAGGTAAGTACAATAATATTTTCCTTACATAAGGCTCAGAAAAAGCTGGTGAATAATATGCAGTGAAATTGCCCTGATTGAAATTTAACACACTGCTGTGGAAATAATAAAAAAAAAAACCTGAATACATCAGTGTAACAGGTAATACACAAACAAGAGACTCATTTTCCTCTCTTAATATTGCTGTTTAATAAGCTTTCAAGCAAACTCATCTTGGCCTTGAACTCTTTGACAGATAGATCACAGATTCTAATTAACTGGCAAATTCCAGAAAACCTACTCAAACATACCATTGTAACAATTTTAATTCATACCAGTAGGTCTGGATGTTATCTTTCATGCATATCAAGTAAGTTTAGGATTGGTAATACAATCTTCATTTTACAAGGAAAAAATAACACTTCAACAGTTGTAATAATCAAGCTGGGGAAAATATAAATTAAATGTAGTAATAATTCCCACATATCCACCTCTCTCTTCCAGCCTTGTATTAGGGCTTTTTGCATCTGTTTGAAAGACAGAGAACACATATCACAAATTGTTGTATGCCCCCAGTCACTTTTCGTGAGATAGGTGGCCATATATAATTGATTAAAGGGTAAATAAATAAACAAATGTTGAATTTGAGATGTGAATTTCACAAACTAAGCACTTCCATTAATTTCGCTCAGCGAAATGGTGTAATAAAACTAGCTGAAATTGAAATATATGTATTTTCATTTTATTTATTTATGTCGCTCTTCTTGCTATCAAGTAACTTTTTATTTTATTTTAGCCAAATGGCTGTTGGATTTTGCAGTACGTCTGCAGTGGATGGACATGCCTAATTTGTTCCCAGTTTTTTTTTAACAATAAAAGCAAAGAAAGAGAATTAGGTTAATAGTTTACCAGTCACCCAACAAATTAAGCTGCTGGTTTGACTGATTGGGAGAAAGACTGGAGAAAGGGACTATCAGGTCCCTTTGGATCTGGAAATCACATTATTTTCAAACTGGACTGATTGGCCTACAGCCTGCCTGTGTCTATCATTGCTTCCATTGATCTCAAATGTGTGGTAGATGTTGGGCCTTGATATGGCACTTTCTGAAATAATTTACTATCTAAAAAGGGAATCTATCCCCAGACAACATGAGAGCTTTATTGCCACACACTTGGTTGAATTATTCGATAACCTTTCAAAGGCCACATAATCTTGAACATCAGACTATGAAATATGAACCTTTTGACTGTGCAGTGGGCTTTTGTTGTTGTTATAACAAACCCTTGTGGAGTGCTCTAAAGCTTGAGGTTAGAGGACATTTTTCAGGGAACTGACCTTGTTGATAATCCCAATACTGTTTTAAAGCAGTTTGTAAATAATACATGTGAAAATGTAAATAATAAATGAAAAGTGCTTAATAGAATATAGAAGTGTTCCAAAATTCTCAAATGGATTTGAATAACAATCGAGTGAGACAGAACTGAATCATTGGCTGACACAGATGCTTAATGTCCAGCAATGCCAATTAGAAATGGGCACATCTTTTTTTTTAATCCTATCATAATACTACTTAATTTTTTTTAAACAAAAACATTATTTCATTAAATCAGTCTTGACAATCAAGGTTAAACAGATCGGGTAATCCTTGATTTACAGCCATTCATTTAATAACCATCTGAAGTTACAATGGCACTGAAAAAAGTAACTTACAATCAGTCCTCTCATCTATGACTGTCGCCTGAGCAGAATTTGGAGGCTTGGTAACCAGTATGTATTTACAATGATTGCAATATCCCGGGGTCATATGATTGCCACTATGATGTTTTCAGCTGGCTTCCAATAAGCAAAGTCAATGGGGAAAGCTGGATTTGCTTAATGATTCACTTAACAACCACAGTGATTTGCTTAACAGCCATGGCCAAAAAAAGGTTGTAAAATCAGGCACAACTCACTTAACAACTTAGCAATAGAAATTCTGCTTCCAACTGTGGTTTCATAAATCAAGAACTACCTGTAATAGGGATTAAAGACTCCGGTCACTGCCAAATTATCATCACTCCTCAGCAGCCTATGGAATTCATGGCATTAAGCCCCAAACTATAATTAAATGGTCAAAGCTCTTAAAGAACTCATTCATAGAAGCACCATGTCTCAGGGTGGCATATTCTCTGGCAAAGGGCAGTAATATCAAGGATAAATCTATCTGTTGATTTTGATTCCACTGTTAGACTGGGCCGTCTTCCATACTTTTCAGTAATGTCCAGGATCTCCTATGGACTAAAATAAACCACAATGGGATTACTAATAAATGCATTGCTAGATTCATCCCTACTGATCCTGCAGAAAAAACACTACTGTCAAGAACAACATGCATTCAGCCACCTGTGCCACAAGTTCGGTACATCTATAATAGTACTTACTTTTCAGGGTAGGGAGGAGAGTGCCAAGAGATATTAGCTCCATCCATCCTCAAACTGTGTTTGCTAGGCATTTCATTTTTCCTTAGTGTAGAAAGAAGCCAATTCCTAACTTTTGGGGGATGTTAGTCTACAGAGGGCGAAAGAAAATTTCAATGGAATGTTTTAGTTTTTGGCTTAGCAGGACGGCATGTAATGAAGCATATTAAATGAAAGATTAATAAAATAAATAAAAATAAGACTACATAAAGAACAAAGAGCGGGGAACGACAGAACGGCTGGTTGTTTTGCAAAGGCTTGTGCGAGAAAAGGTTAAAATTAGATTGACGAGCAAATGTGTTCGCTGACTGCTGGCTGACAAATGGCAAAGGCTCTGCCAATGTATTACTTATGCAGGAGATGAAGTGGAAGCGAGCAGGCGGCTAATATCTTTGCAACGGTCATATCTATATATTCAAACTTTGAGTAAACAAGGAATATTTGGGTGAGCACACAACAGATGCCTGCTGGAGAGGCAAAAGGCAAGTGGGTGCCGAGACATGGGCAGAGATATTACTCACATTTTTTTGTGGAGACGCCAAGGAAAGCTTGGTCATCCTGCTGATGGGAACATTCCCCATGGATGACTCTTCCACTGCCTGAAGATAAACCTGTTCCAAGGAACTTTTATGACTCATGCTCCATTTTGGAGAATTTAGATGTAAAGAACCCCAGTAAGGGTGAGGGCTCTTGAAATCTTCTGGAGGTTGCTGAATTACAAATCGCCTCCGCATTAATTATGCCTGGAGGCATACCGATAGTCCTTGACTTACAATAACAACTCAGCCCAAAATTTATGTTGCTAAGCGAGACAGTTAAGTGAGTTGTGCCCCATTTTACAACCTTTCTTGCCACAGATGTTAAGTGAATCACTGCGGTTGTTTTAAGTTAGTAACATGGTTGTTAACTGACTCTGGCTTCCCCATTGATTTTGCTTGTCAGAAGGTCCCAAAAGGTGATCACATCACCCTGAGACATTGCAACCATCATAAATACATGCCAGTTGCCAAGCAAACTAATTTTGATCACGTGACCATGAGGATGCTGTAACAGTTGTTAAGTGTGCAAAATGGTCATAAGTCACTTTTTTCAATGCTGTTGTAACTGTAGTAAGTCAAGGACTATCTGTAATGCGACAGCATCTGGAATCCAGGGTAATTGAAAAAACCATCAACCGTTTGTTCATGACACACTGTGCATTTTAGCACCTTCTCCCCCCCCCCAAATCATTTCAGAGTATTTTATGATGTTTTCCTGAATAGGTTTGCAGGTGCTATCTTGCCATGTGACTTGCCCTTTCCACAATCAAAACTACACTGCTCCTTTTGTGAAGATTGAATTCAGAAATGGCAAGCCTTGCCCTGAGGCAAGGGATAGGCAATAGGCATAGCACACATTTGCAAGAGTCTGGATGTCCAACGTCACTTAAAAAAAAAAAACAACCATTCAATTTTTTTTAAAGGGAAGTTTGCTTGTATAATAACTTCCTCCATTATTCCTCCCTGCCCCCTATCCAGGCCATTCCTAAGCCCCATTCACAGACTAATTATGGGTTTGGGGAGGCAAAAGCACAGGGTTTGGCTTGGAAAGGTGCCCATTTCCTCAGCAAAATATGAAAGGCCAGTGGAATTAGAGCAGGAGTGGAGTACTATTGCCCCTTTATGACCTCTGGACTTCAACTCCCAGAATTCCTGCTGGCTCACTCCTGAATTAGAGGAAGCCTTCTTGTGGTGGCTAAGTAGAATGATACCTAGTGAACAAGTGTTGTGACTGGTTATCTATCTATCTATCTATCTATCTATCTATCTATCTATCTATCTATCTATCTATCAATCAAATGTATACAGTACCCGTCTTACTGTTGTACCTGTCTAAGTGACTCTTGAGTGGTTTACAAATAAAAAAACCATAATAGCCATAAAATCTTTACAAAAGAGTAATGATGCTCCGGGCTGTGTACCAGTCTTAGATCCCCATGCAAATGGACAGAGCCAGTTTTATTGTCCTTGATGGCTATTTCTGTGATTTGGCAGGTGTTAAACCTCAATTTATGAGTGTGCCCATAACATATTTTCAAAATTCTGAATGACTCCTAAAATTTGCAGATTTGTATCCTTAAGGTCTATAAACTAAAAAGCAAGGTGCTTTCATATGAATGACATAGCAGCAAGATCAAAGAGTGGACAAATAAACCTCTTTTTTCTGTGCATCTAAAAATAACTCTCTCATTTGTAAGATCTCTCTAAGCACTGAAAAAGTAATATAAGCAGAGCATTTGTATCATCAGAAATGGCTCATCAAATGCAATCCTTTTTCACACGTAGCTCGTTTTTCCTTTTTTCCTTTTAGCTTCAAAAAATAATCATGTGAGGAAACACCAAGAAAATAATATCAAGGTGCAAATAAGACTTAAATAACAATTGATTTGTAAATTAATGAGGTTGGCGGAAGGAAAGCATTCAACTGACAGAAAATGGAATTACATGGCAGCCCATGGGATCAGGAAGAAATTTTGCAGAACAAGGATTTAAGGGGAAAGGTAGAGGTGGAAGAGTCAAATATTTGAAGGGAATAACTTGGCTTTTACAAGAATCAGTTACTTTGGGGCCCATTGTCATCCATCGTTGTAAGGGTCAACCATAAAAATCTCAAGCATTATTATGCTGGAATATCCTGAACATGAACTTATTTTCATACTTTTATAATTTGTTTTCTGGCTGACCAGATTTAGGCAGAAGTTAAACGGGCTGTGTTTTAAGGTTTACATCTACCCTGCTTCCGAGAGGTCATGGATGTACCAATTCTTCCTGAACAATATCGTCTTTCTGCCTTATGATATCCCATGTTCTCCCTTCTCTGCATTCTAGACTAGGTGGTGTTTCAGTAACTTAAAAAAGTAGCAACTTGGAAATGAAACACTTACTTTTCTTTATAAAAAGTGTGTCTCTCCCCCCCCTCCCCCCCATACAGGGTCCCTCTAAGCAAGGATCAGCATTTTGATTATCAGAATTGGGTCATCAGAGGTGTCAAGATCCTTCCTCACAAAATGTGATAACGCTGAGAACAGAGATTTTCTTTCTGTTTCAAAAATAGTAATGCTATGCTTCACACTGATGCTCTATGTGACACGGGTCACTTTTACTTTCTCTCTCTCTTTCTCTCTCTCTTTCTTGGTGCATGCAAACACCATATGACTTCAGCGTGAGAAGAAAGGTAGATAAGGTACTGCCTTGTCATCTGCTAACAGGGACCCACTGCGGCTGTTTTAGCCATGGAAATAATTGCCATTAGCCTTAGATCCAGGTAAAAGTATTACTTTCATACAATTTTGCAATGTGGCACAAAGAAAACACTCCTACATAATAAGCACAAACATCATGGGTGACATTAATGTATTGTGAAAAAGTGTTTATTACTAATAGAATATTTATAGCTTAGGGTTGAACCTGGAGTCCTTCGTGGTCTCTGAGTTTGGTTGTTTGCTTGCAGACACTTCATTACCCAACTAGATAATATCATTATGCTGATGATGTTACCTAGTTGGGTAATGAAATGTCTGCAAGAAACCAACCAAGTATTTATTTATTATTGTCTGCTTTGTTTCGATAACAGCCATGACCTCCGTCTTACTCCATTCATTTTAGGACTCGGGTTTCTTGGAGAGTGGGGGACTTGTTGCTTTCTATACTGCAGTCCTGATGAAAAATACCCAAGGAATCTCTCCTTTCTCCACAGAAGAAAACTACTTTGGTTAGTTTTGTCTTTCATAACAAATAGCAAATTTGGAGGAAGATTTTCCCTGATCTCGTGGTACTGTGGATAAAATTATTAACCTTTCTCAGCTACTATTTAATAATAATAATAAAGTTGGAAGGAACCTTGGAGGTCATCTAGTGGTCCAACCCTCTGCTCAGGCAGGAAACCCTATACTATTTTGGACAAATGGCTGTCCAGTCTCTTCTTAAAAACTTCCAGTGTTGGAGCATTTACTGCTTCTGGAGGCAGGCTGTTCCACTGATTAACTGTTCTCACTGTCAGGAAGTTTCTCCTCAGTTCTAGGCTGCTTCTCTCCTTGATTAGTTTCCATCCGTTGCTTCTTGTCCTGCCTTCAGGTGCTCTGGAAAATAGCTTGACTCCCTCTTCTTTGTGGCAGCCCCTGAGATATTGGAATACTGCTATCATGTCCCCCCTCGTCCTTCTCTTCGTTAAACTAGACATACCCAATTCCAGCAACGTTCCTTATATGTTTTAGCCTCCAGTCCCCTAATCATCTTTGTTGCTCTTCTCTGTACTCTTTCTAGAGTCTCAACATCTTTTTTACATTGTGGTGACCAAAACTGGATGCAGTATTCCAAGTGTGGCCTTACCAAGGCATTGTAAAGTGGTATTAATACTTCACGTGATCTTGATTCTATCCTCTGTTAATGCAGCCTAGCACTGTGTTGGCTTTTTTGGCAGCTGCAGCACACTGCTGGCTCATATTTAAATGATTGTCCACTAGGACTCAGAGATCCCTCTCACAGATACTACTATTGAGCAGGTTCTTTATAGTTCTGTTTACTGCTTTTATTCTGTTTTTAATTATTAGCCATCCTGTGTAATGTTCAAGATGGGCAACATATATGTTTTTAAATAAAATTAAAAAAAATATTATCCAATTTGGCCCTTACTGACTAGCAAACAAACAAATATTTACATTATAAGGAATGTTTGAGGAATGTTTTTTTTATTTCATCCATTAATTACATTATATTGCCTACCAGATTATACTGTTCATCTAGCTTAATAACTAGACAGATTCTGTATTTTCCACTCATAGCAATGCTTATAGATAGAGGTGTCATTCAAAAATATTTCAGGATTTCCTGGCCACCCTTGGCTGATATGCATCTGTCAGAAGACACCCAGTTCTTCTGGGAAGAGGGAGTGTGGAAATGATTCCTCTGCATACCTTTTGCCATTGGAATCATATTTCTGATAGCCCATCTAAATGCTGTCTGATGAGCTGTCTAAAGAGTATTAGGCTGTGTGAGATTTAGGGCTTCTCAAGGTCCAATAAAGTACTTAAACTATTTAGAAAATGATTTCTTTTTTTTTTTTCTGAGACGGTATCTATTTAGAAGCAATTTCTTGGGAGAAAGAGGCTGGAATTATGTAAATATTTTTTCACTTCTGTTAAGATTATTTCCTATCCTATTATATTTCTTTCTCTTCTACCTTGGTCTTTTCCAGTGTTGTG